AATTCGATACGTGGTAATTCGATGCGTGGTAATTCGACGCGAGCTAATTCGGAGACAATTCCGAAATTTGTGAAACCACAATCCAGAATGCAGAAATACCAATATTGCTGCTAAAGAACACAACACAAGAATACATCTCTAATAACCTAATCCAAACCCATCGCAACCTTAATCTCTAACTTAATCCATCCTCAACTCCAATTTTATCAATATCGGTCAAAAAGATAACTTACTTAGTCTTGAAGAAGACGAAGATCGAAAATGAGTCTCTCACTGTTGTTTGTAACCACAAAGTCTGTGCCGTTAACGAGATCGTGACCTGGCGTTTAAAAACAGTCAGACAAAAGTTGCAAGGAGTTGGACAGCGAGCACGTGTCCGCCTCACCTAGTCACATGCTTATGCTAACGATGCTGGATGCACGATATATCGTACGCTGACGTCAAAACGCATTAGCACGTTCTCACGAGTAAGGATATACTCATTCCGCGGGATGATCGTTCGCTATTCGAAAAATTTTCCAACTGAAGGCTGCTTATTAACTAACGACCGGCATAATAATCCTGTTTTCGAGTTTCAACTTTGGGAAAAATCAACATGATTGTTGACGTTCGGTTTTGTACCTTTCCAGTTGAATTATTCTCGAGTTGGTAGAGCGAATTATCGAGTCAGAATTTAAGAAACGATCGATCTTATCGAATGTAGTGATTCTACAGTCTCTTTGCTCATCTTTTAGACAACAGCAAAGAGAAAAATGCAAGCTCAATTTTCATAAATTGTTGTACAAGGTTAGTCTTCAGACGTGTCTGCAATTTTAAAATTGTCTCCAAATAACAGGCTGGAGAAATATGAACTTTGTTCGAAAAAGTATTGACAAATTTTCGGTGATTTAATATGAACTTGTTTATACATTTTGCACGAAGTAAAGGTTGGAACGCTAGTCGTTGCAAAGAGCAGTTGGTGTGTTAAGCAAGTGATAAGAATATTTGATTAGCCAAGAATCTCTCCAAACATTATTTACAATGTGTTTGTAGAACGAGTTGCAGTACACTTGTGCAGATTCCTAGAAGCTATTATGCTCTAGATGATCTCAGGTGTTCAAGGACTTCGGAAAAATTCTCAACTTTCATTTGTTTTAGAACTCTCTTTAAATTGTTATTAATATTTTTACTTCTAGACGCGTGGTAATTCGGCGCGTGGTAATTCCACGCGTAGCAGTTCGACGCATAGTAATTCGACGCGTGGTAAATCCACGCATGGTAATTCGGCGCGTGGTAAATCCACGCGTAGTAATTCGGGGCGTGGTAATCCGACGCGTGGTAATTCGATACGTTGGTAATTCCACGCGTGGTAATTCGATACGTGGTAATCCGATGCGTGGTAATCCGACGCGTGGTAATTCGATACGTTGATAATTCCACGCGTGGTAATTCGACGCGTGGTAATTCGATGCGTGGTAATCCGATGCGTGGTAATCCGACGCGTGGTAATTCGATACGTTGATAATTCCACGCGTGGTAATTCGACGCGTGGTAATTCGATGCGTGGTAATCCGATGCGTGGTAATCCGACGCGTGGTAATTCGATACGTTGATAATTCCACGCGTGGTAATTCGACGCGTGGTAATTCGATGCGTGGTAATCCGATGCGTGGTAATCCGACGCGTGGTAATTCGATACGTTGATAATTCCACGCGTGGTAATTCGACGCGTGGTAATTCGATGCGTGGTAATCCGATGCGTGGTAATCCGACGCGTGGTAATTCGATACGTTGATAATTCCACGCGTGGTAATTCGACGCGTGGTAATTCGATGCGTGGTAATTTGACGCGTGGTAATTCGATACGTGGTAATCCGATGCGTGGTAATCCGACGCGTGGTAATTCGATACGTTGGTAATTCCACGCGTGGTAATTCGACGCGTGGTAATTCGGCGCGTGGTAATTCGATATGTGGTAATTCAACGCGTGGTATTTCGACGCTTGCTAATTCGACGCGTGGAAATTCGAAGCGTGGTGATTCAACGCATAATAATTCAATACGCAAATTCCCCAATAATCCATGTAAAGATAAGTAATCGAATATCCAAATGATTTGTGGCACGTATCTGACAGTTCAATTGTAAGTGGATCACGGTTTCCGGTGATTTTAATGCAACGAGGAATTATTTCGTAACAGCAATCAGCTTTATTTGTAGATTACGTTCGAGACAAAGCGAATGCATCAAAGAAAACTGGAAAATCGCTTCATTTTTTTTCCCATCGATCGTATCTGGTGAAACGTTTCCTGCCTCGTTAGAGGTCGAGCAATTAACTCGAAGGAATAATTGGAAGCTGGCGCTGACGGTGTTCGTCGCATATTTAGTCTTCACTTTTTCTTTTCACACACGATTATTTTCCGGGTTCTTTTTTACGTAATACGATTCCTTGCAACCTGCAGACGTTTCGTAATTTATCTTGCACAATGGTTACAAGAATGTCGCTCACTGAACGTGTGGAACGTGGAGTATGCGGTTGATGAGTGAGATATTGAGGAAGAAACCATTCGTATTTTTTCCGATTATTATACTCGTGTTGCTAGTATTTTTTGCAGCTGTGTTTTTAACCTCATCGATGCTCAATTAGTTTCTAAATTTGTTAAACAAATGTTACACAGTCGTTTAGTTTGTTTTTAGATTCGAAGGCCACATATGTGGATGTTTCTTTCTAAATTCATTAAAGGTCACATATGTGAATGTGTGTTTTTTTATAGAACACATATGTGGAAGTTTAGTCTGTTTTTAACGTCATCGAAGGTCACACAAGTGGACGTTTAATTTGTTTTCTAATTTGTCAAAGGCCACATATGTGGACATTTAATTTGTTTTTAAACTCACAGGTCACATATGTGGATGTTACATATCCTTAATGTTTATAATTTTTTTAGAATTTATTTATGTAATTCTTGCATAAGTAAATAATAGTAAACTAAATAGTAATAAATGTTGACATATGATTTTGTGCAAATTATTCATCAATCTTGTTCTCGCAAACGCTCCTTGTATTATTAATACCCACATTATCTAATAATCCGTGTCTGTTCTTCGTCTTAAATTAGATACATCTGTACCGAAGAATTTTTCTTCCACAGCAATAATTATCACAGTACACACATCGTATGGAATGGAATGTTCTTCATGAGCTCTAACAATGTGCTGATATAAATGTATTTGTGAATTCATTTCCTAATCGACTAACTTCATTGGTGGTCTATTGGAATGTGCCTTACTCTTCAAGAATGCCACTTCATTTTCTAAATGAAACTTCAATTTTGTAATACTTTGCTCCGAGCACTTTGTTCGATTTTAATGATACTAACAATTAATGTATATAAATTGTTTCAGGCAATGTTTTTAAATAAATTGTTTTAGTCAATGTTTTTAGATAAATTGTTCCAGCCAATGTTTTTAGATAAATTGTTTCAGCTAATATTTTTAGATAAATTGTTTTAATTAATGTTTTTAAATAAATTGTTTTAGTCAATGTTTTTAAATAAATTGTTTCAGCTAATATTTTTAGATAAATTGTTTTAATCAATGTTTTTAAATAAATTGTTTCAGCCACTGTTTTTAGATAAATTGTTTCAGCCAACATTTTCAGACATTTCTCAACAAAAAACCATTGTTTCAATTTAATCCCGATTGCAGCAACCAGCACAATAACCGCACATAAACACCGACCACGTGGTCAGAATACGTGTTTATTAAAATATCACTCGCAAATCGTTCCTCGGGCAAAACCGTACCACGGTTATTTTTAATCTGAGCCAATATTTTCCACCGTGTTATCGTGTTTGATTTTCCTTTAATTGCCGCGCTTAATTGCTCTGTCACGTCCGAATTTACCCAGACAACATCTGCAGTGTTTGCGCACGAGGTAAATCTGGTTTTAAACTCCGGTAAATCCACAGTTATATGTTGCAAAGTAAAATTGTACCACGGTACATTTCAAAATGTCGCGTTACATTTTGCGGCGACGATTTTGTACAAAACAACGAATCAACTTTCAAATTATCGTACTCTTTTTTCCGTGTTTCGTTACTTGCACAACAGGATTACCTAATCGCGCAATATTTGCTTATGGCTGCGAGCAGACACGCGGAAATCTTATCAACAAAGTCGACTTATTTCTCCCCATTGAGTTGCAATCGGAACGCCAGGTATTATCTTTGTGATTTTTATCCGATGTCGAATGTTCTTTCCATCATGATCGATCAGATTGCGCGATAAACGGGTACGAACACAGAACTTTGTTTCACCGCTGAAATTAATGCACGTTTCTTGTAATAACGTGCTCTAAATTCTCGAGATTCGATAACGAGTACATACTGTCAATGTAAGACACTCACCTTGCAGATTTAAGGCCGTGAACGTTAACGATTAACGAAATAATTGGACAATTAACGGAAATTTTAATGAACGATCGCGGAGATACGGTTTTAGGAAAGAACGATCAGCTGCACTCGGTGAATTCACGCATAAAACTGATGTCTCAAGTTCGACAATGACGCAGAAATCTTATCTAGCCGATAACAAAGAGACAAAGTGTCAACAGGCAGGTACACGTACGGTCGTCTTATCTAACGAATCCTATTCTGCTTTCATTAATAACGTACCTATTGCTTTAATTATCTGAGGACCAGGGTGAGACTAATCTACATACGATGGGCCTTTCCCGAGCCTGGGGGGACGTAGAATGTCACAAATTAGATATTTAGAAATTTTTGTTAGTGCATAGAGTTTCGAGGATTTTAATTGAATTCCTACATTCTTAAATGTATGAACTTTCACATATTTTCCAATTTCCCAATTTCCTAATTTTTCCAATTTTGACGCTTGGCAATTCCACGCGTGGTACTTCGACGCGTGGTAATTGGGCGCATGGTAATTCCACCCTTGGTAATTCAGCGCGTGGCAATTCCACGCGTGGTAATTCCACGCGTAGTAATGCCATGCGTGGTAATTCGGTGCATGGTAATTCGGCGCGTGGTAATTCTACGCGTGGCAATTCCACGCGTGGTAGTTCGGCGCGTGGTTATTCCACGTGTGGTAATGCCATGCGTGGTAGTTCGACGCGTGGAAATTCCACGCGTGGTAATTCGGCGCGTGGTAATCTCACGCGTGGTAATTTGGTGCGTGGTAATTCGGCGTATGGTAATTCCATGCACGGTAATTCTATGCATGGCAATTCCACGCGTGGTAGTCCGGCGCGTGGTAATTCCACGCGTGGTAATTCGGTGCGTGGTAATTCGGCGCATGGTAATTCCATGCGCGATAATTCTATGCATGGCAATTCCACGCGTGGTAGTTCGGCGCGTGGTAATTCCACGCGTGGTAATGCCATGCGTGGTAATGCCATGCGTGGTAATTCGTCGCGTGGAAATTCCACGCGTGGTAATTCGGCGCGTGGTAATCTCACGCGTGGTAATTTGGTGCGTGGTAATTCGGCGTATGGTAATTCCATGCACTATGGTAATTCCATGCACGGTAATTCTATGCATGGCAATTCCACGCGTGGTAGTCCGGCGCGTGGTAATTCCACGCGTGGTAATTCCATGCGTGGTAATTCGGCGCGTGGTAATTCGGTGCGTGGTAACTCAACGCGTGGTAATTCCAAGCGTGGTAATTTCCCAAATTCCCCAATTCTCCGATTCCCCAATTTCCCACTTTCCCAAGTTCACGAATTTGTAGACTCCCAAATATCTAAATATACAATTCCTCGCTCGACAGTATGGGACGCAACTGGTGCGTCACTCCATAAAAACATATAAAACGCACCCGATGCGTCACTCTATTACAACATATGACGCACCCAGTGTGTCATTGATCATCCACAAGTCATCCAACAGAAAACTAATTACCCGTTTACGTAAACGAAACACGTGAAAGATAACAATAACGCCGATAGACTTTGACTGTAATAAGCATTGATTATCTTTGTACACAGTAACGTTCTAATTAGTGTAGCTATTAAGACCATGTTACGTTGCTGCAACTTAATTTACTTCTCGAATACTTCAACAAATTCTGTTTCTTCTTTCAACAGTGTGGACAGATATTTCATCAATACGTGATAACCGAAGGTTTATCGATTGCCGTTCGATAAAGAATGCATGGACAGACTATTATAAAAGAATTCACGGTATTTTCAGTTGAAAAGCAATAAAAAGTATTAGATAAAAAACAGGTATTGACAATAGATAGGTTCATTGGAATTCATAGCCTGTTATGCAATTTTTTCCCAGAAATGTACGAATACAGTGTTACCCATTTTCCTATTTCCTATTTTCTTGTCTACGAAACGATGGTCCCTTATCTCTGCGTTTATCGGTGCACGTCCATTGAACAATGTTTTTTCCTTTTCGCCAACGAACCTCGGAACTATTGCATTTGCTTGCTCATCATGAAACTGCTTTCCGTCTTTAACGCGTTTCTTGTAAACATTAAACTGTAGCAACTTTCGAGAACTCGACGTGTTAAATAAATAACAATTAACACTGGAATCCATGATTCATCGATAAACAGTCATCGAAAACGTGTTCCAATTTTTTAACAAGTCTGCACGAAAGCTACATAATACTTCTATCGGTCACGATCGAAGGTAACGAGTACCGCGAAATCTACCAAATAAACATTCACTTAATCTTGTACAAGAAATGTGTCTTTAATCCTTAATGTAATTTATGGCCTGATATGTGCTTTTACGAGTTGTAATTCTGCGTGATATATTCTTATGAACTGTACTTACATTTGTTGCGTTTTAACGCGTTGCACTTTGAGACGCGGTAACTTTGCTCGTTATGATGCGGTGCGTGGTAATTCAGCACGTAGTAATTCGACGCGTGGTGATTCCACGCTTGGTAATTCGGTGCGTGGTAATTCCACGCTTGGAAATTCGGTGCTTGGTAATTCCACGCGTGGTAATTCCATGCGTGGTAATTCGGTGCTTGGTAATTCTACGCGTGGTAGTTCCACGCTTTGTAATTCTACGCGTGGTAGTTCCACGCTTGGTAATTCTACGCGTGGTAGTTCCACGCTTGGTAATTCCATGCGTGGTAGTTCAACGCGTGGTAATTCGACGCGTGGTAATTCGGTGCGTGGTAATTCGACGCGTGGTAATTCGGCGCGTGGTAAGTCGATACGTGGTAATTCAGCGCACAGTAATTCGATACGGTCAACGCGTGATAATTCCACGCGTGGTAATTCGATGCGTAGTAATTCCATGCGTGGTAAGGCAATGCGTGATAATTCCACGCGTGGTAATTCGAAGCGTAGTAATTCGATACACAGTAATTCGACCCGTAGTACTTCAACGCGTAATATTTCAACGTGCTGTATCATCGCCACTGGAAATCTAATTTAATTCTAGAATAATAATTACTCCTCATACATTGTCGTCAGTAGATCATAGTACACATCCTACTAATAGGTTCACCTTTAGTTCAATGCATATGCGTACACATCCGTCCTTACAATTACAACGACCGACAGTCAAGTGCAAGAACACCTAGAAAGAATACTACGTGCAAGAGCAATGGAAACGTATATAACGGAACATGTTCACAATATTCTGGTTTCAAACAAACATCTGTAATCTCGTCTGATTGATTTCGATCGATTTCTTTGATCAAATAGCTCGCACGAAACTTCCGAAACACAGTCAACGACCTACTTTCTGATTATGAAACTACAAAATGTGTCGGTGGCTCTACAATTTATGGTCGATGAGGGAATTAAGATTGCAATTGTTAACATTGATTAGAACAATTATGATGATGTCCTAGAAGATGCTGTCCTAGAATTTTGCAGATAACATTCAAATCTGAATAATGTTATATTTGATGATGAAAATATTTTTGAAGCAATGTATCTGTCGGTGATTGTCTTGATGTAATACAGATCAAACTAGAAATTGTGAATGTAGATAAAATCTCAATAGTGATATACCTGTCTCAGTGTCCTAACGCAGAATTAGAGCAGGTTCAGGTATAGTTGCTGGTTTCGTTATTCATCTTAACGTTCCATCTGCATTTCTATTACCAACTAAGCACAACACAATATACAAATCATACTTACTTGTCAAAGTTTCAGTCCTATATCAGCGAATCCACAAAGTCCGAACCCCGTCTAAACACTTGCCAGTCCACAGAATTGCAAAACGTTCACTGTCGATCACCGAGGAACACTTTCGAGATTCATTGTCCGTTACCGTGCACGATATCGCTCGAATCGATTATCCACGTCAATTAGAAAGTGGATCAGGTGATTCAAGAACGATGATTTATCTTCGTAACGTTCATTTTTCACTTGCAACTAAGTAAAGGCCCTTTGAGTGTTGTACGATTCGATAAGATTCGACGATTGCTAGCAACAGGTAGTTCGAGGTGTATTTGACGTGTTCGTGGTAGAGGAAGAATTCGATGGACCTTGGCTGATGGAGTCGAGGTGTTATCGACAGGACGGTCTCGATACCACTGGATGAAAAACACGACCACACGTTTTTCCAGCAAACGACGTTGTGGGGGTATTAGCAATTATTATCGTTTGGCACCTTATCCACGCGATACAGCCTGGTCGCCAGCTTAGCGATTACGTATTCGACTACACGTGGACTTGGTCACGATATCGATGCCGAAATGGCCGGCGAAAGTATATTTCCATTGGATCGATTAGATCGTTTCGACGATAATCGACAAATTTCGCACGGACACAGATTTTGCTCCCACACTTATTTATAATCTTCACAGTAAAATTTTTGAAACACACGGAGTTAAAAATACAAATATTATTTATTTGCAGTTTGTGATTCATGATTCAACTGTTCTGGGAAAGAGCAAGATTTTATAACGGGGATATTTTATTTAAAAATTGCTTTGTAAACTGAAAATTTAGCTCTGGTGATTCGATTACTGATATCATGCACTGAAGGAATGAGGAAACGAACACATTCCTTTGACGCAAATATACTTCCTTTTATCTTTGTAGGACGATGTTTTCTCCAAGAAATGTAAACAAGAAGTAGAAGTGGATCGATAACTTTATCGACTGTTTAATCGCATCTTAATTATAAATTCAAAACAGCTTTTTCTAATTGACTTAATTTCATTTATTAATAGCTTTCAAAGTCCAACTTATGTGTACCTATGTAAGCATCCTCGGTACACTCTGTATACTCTGTATACTCTGTCAACAAATATGTAACAAATGTATATTAAATGCACGTTGTCCTAAAATGCAAAAATCCTGACAACCCTAATATCTCACACCCTCAAACCTCCAAACTTAACCAAAGTAAATAACTATACTATTTATATACTCAGAATCAACAATTTTAATATCACCTCTTCCTATTTACAAAAATAACTCACATTTGTCATCGGTATAAAAAATAAATACATTCTAGAAACATCGCACATTGTGTTTCAGTTCCTTCAATGAACTCCATTATTTTCTTCATTGCACTTTAACATGTTCGCGAAGAATCCATTTTGTCGTTGAGCGAGATCCGCGGGAGAGCCGTCCTCGACGATTTTTCCCTCGTGGAACACGATCACTCGATTGCATTCCAACAGCGCAGCCACTCGATGCTGAGGAAACACGACAAGATGTACAGAAGCCGTTACAAGTTTTATTGTCAAGGAAGATAAGGACATGTCGTGTATCATAGTCGTGTTACCGCGATAATGATCAGCGTTCTATTTTTGAAAGCGGTCGAAACTGCTTTCAAGAGGCTCTTCTCGGTAGCTGCGTCGAGTGCACTGGTCGATTCATCGAGAACCACGATCGAAGACTTCCGGAGGATCGCGCGGGCCATGCAGAGTAGCTGCAGCTGACCGGAAGAGAAATTTTCTCCTCCTTCTCGCACCTCGAAATCTGTTTCAAAGTTTCAAACTTTTATCTTCAAGGTTAATTATTTTGAGTGTTAATTATTTTTAACTTCGACGAAGGTTAAGTCTCCGAAATAACTTAAAGAACAATATTATCTCAATGTCTTCCTCAAGGTTTAGTGAGAAACCTTGTGCATATCGTTACCCATACGATTTGCATATCTGTAGAGATAACGACTGAAAAAGTGGAACAACGAAAAATTTCCCTGTTATATTTTTTGACAATTAAACAATTACCGAGTCCTTCAGGATGGGAAGCCACGACGTCCTTGATTTGCGCTACCTCCAAAGCGTTCCACAATTCGCTATCTCCGTATTCCGATAGGGGATCCAAATTTTTCCTGAACAAATTAAAAACATCTATTTATTAACTTTGACACGATTCGTGGTAAATTTGAATTGTAAAGTATGTAATTACCTGATAGTGCCACTGAACATGATTACATCCTGAGGAATCACCGACAGTCGCGACCGGAGTACCCTCAACAAAACTTCACTGATATCAACTCCATCGATCATAATGCGACCTTCAGTGATTTCTAGTAATCGGAACAGTGCCATCGCTGTGGAGGACTTGCCACTTCCGGTTCTTCCACAGATACCGATCTGTGCAGTGTTCATATTAGTTTTATAAGAAGATCGTTTGTATTTTCATTCTTACCTTTTGACCAGCTGGAATCTTGAGTGATAGGTTTGAGATCACGGGCTCTTGCGAATCATATCTCAAGGAGACGTTTTCGAAAATTATTTCACCTCTGCTGGGCCAGTCGTCGAACAATCGGAAACCTGGTAATTCAAAATAAATTTAATTAATTTGGCGCGTGGTAATTCCACGCATGGTAACTCAATGCGTGGTGACTCCACGCGTGGTAATTCAATGCGTGATAATTGCACGCTTGGTAATTCAGAGCGTGGTAGTTCCACGCGTGGTAATTCGGTGCATGGTAACTCAACGCGTGGTGATTCCACGCGTAGTAATTCGGCGCGTGGTAACCCAACGCGTGGTAATTCGGCGCGTAGTAATTCCACGTTTGGTAATTCAGCGCGTGGTAGTTCCACGCGTGGTAATTCGGTGCATGGTAACTTAATGCGTGGTAATACGGCGCGTAGTAATTCCACGCTTGGTAATTCGATGCGTGGTAATTCGACGCGTGGGTAATTCGACGCGTGGGTAATTCGACGCGTGGTAATTCGATACGTAGTAATTCGACGCGTGGTAATTCGGGGCGTGGTAATTTGACGCGTGGTAATTCGACGCGTGGTAATTCGACGGGTAGTAATTCGACGCGTAGTAATTCGACGCGTGGTAATTCGACGCGTGGAAATTCGATACGTGGTAATTCCACGTACAAACCTTCTTGATAATTTTCCACCGGCGCATATCTATACACAGAGATCCTAGCCACACTGCCAAGATACATCTCGATTTCAGCAGTGAACTTCACCACCCAGTTCAAGTATATAGGCACCAGAAGCGTGTAATTAATCGCTAGACCAACTAAAGCAGGTGTCACACGTTCCGGGTACAGTTCCGCGGAAATTAATGCGGCAAACGTTGCGGTAATTACTATTACCGCGCCCAGGTAATCCTAAAATGTTGTTCCATTGAGAAGTTCATTCGAGAGATGTTTTTACAAGTGCTCTTACCAGAGCGATACCTAGCCATCGACTGCTCGAGTTCAGAAGCAGAAAAGCGTTCGTGTTGGTGTCCAAACACTTCAGGGCTTGCTGCATGAAACGAGTCTCTTGTTTGGAGGCTCTCAAGGTTGCTAGACCTCGGAGGGTCTCGGAGAAGTGCGTTGCGATTGGCCATCGAGTACTAGAAATTCACTTCATTGAATCTCATATAATTTCTTCATCATGTTTTAGATGTGTTTAAAATTTACTCTTGATATTATTATCATGTAATTTTGAATGTAAATTCAACATGTTACATTAGTTTATCTTAATGACTGTTATACCTCAATAATTGTAGTAATTATGTACTCCAAACGTTAATTAATAGCACCGATAACTATTGTTATCAGTTAACAGTTAGCTGAAAGTTAGTCACCCATTTACATTGTTACCCAAAAATTTCTGACCTCCCAAAATATTTCCAATATCTACTCTCCAATAACTGGTAGATAACCCACCTGCCATCCAATCTCTGCAAATGCCTCGCACCGCGTCTATAAAATCTTTGAACCAGATAATAAGCTGCACAGGTGGGTACAGCTGCGATCAAGAACCACGGTGAGATGACGACGTTCACTATGATCGCCGATCCACAAAGCAGAACGAAGAACGTCAGTCTTTGGATTGACATGGATATTTTCTTGAAAGGAATCCAAATACGACTTCAAACTTTTGTCACATCAGATAAATAGTAATTAATCGTTGGGTAATAACCTTGTCAATTACACCGGTGTCGCCGCTGAACCTGTTGAGGATTTTGCCAACTGGGTTGCAGTCGAAGAAGGACATCGGTACTCTGAGTAGTCGGGAAACTGCTTCTTCGTGGAGTTTTCTTCTTGCTGTGGCACCGGTCCATTGACCGGTTGCGTTGCACACGAAGGATAGGAATATGAAGCTTATCGATAGGGTTATGTATATCTTGAAGTAGAACAGTGCCTGAAAGCGTTTGAGAAAATTCAAGGTTACTGTGATTAGAAAGTTACAGTGAAAGAAACTCACAGTCACGTCCTGACTTTTTTGAGCCAAACTCTCATTCTCCTGGTCTGTCCATCGACTCAACCACAAGTCTGTGTAAACGCGAAGAACCTGACAGAAAACTGCCACACTTATATAGGTCAGACCAGGTAGCCAGCCTCCAGCTTTCAGATAATCCATCAGGATCATTCTGGTCACCACGCCACTTCTGTCTTCGTACAATGACTCTTCTTGTTCGTCCGTATCGTCAATTTCTGTAATGGATAAAGTTTTACTACTTCGATATATTTTACTTTTTAGTTGGAACGTGTACTCACTTCCTTCAGCCTCATCAGCCTCGGTTCCTTTGGATTCTACTGATATTAGACGTTTAACGGGGAAGGCTTCGTGTTCTTGGTCCATGCTAAAACATGATTCAGATAGTGATACAGATTGACTAATTATTGTTGCGTGACAATTAATGGAAACTTGTAATATTCATACTTTTTGATACTGTAGCTTATTTGCTTGTTGGAACTGGGAGGTATCAGTCTGTGGAGGACACCTTTGTCTCTGTTCAGAGGCATTTCATCAGGATGTGGACTGATGATTCTGTGTAAAATATTACAAGTACTTTCATTAACATCTTTTCAACTATGAACGCTTTCTTTAACACTAATACTTTATTCAACACTCTTGAGACCAACCTGCCAGAGAATATTTGTCTCAGTACACTGCTAGGCTGTCCATTGTCAAAAGTGTTATTCCTTTTTCTGGAAGCTAGTCCACCCTCAAGGATCGTTGGAGTGCTGCTCTGCCTAAGAACTGGAGGAGGTTGCCTCTGAGGTTGAAGACTGGTCGACCTGACCGCAGTTCGATGCGATTTGAATTTCTTTTTGGACGTGTTCCATTCTTCGGTGGGTAGTGGAAGATCTGTCAGATCGTGGGCCAAGTATCTCGACCCTGATAGGGTCGCTCGTCGCATCCTAAGTGGCACAAAGCCTGGGGGGTCCTGGTAAAACAGTCATTCATCAAAAGCCATCGAGTAGTAATTCGATGCGTGGTAATTCGGCGCGTGGTAATTCGGGGCATGGTAATTCGATACGTGGTAATTCCACGCGTGGTAATTCGGGGCATGGTAATTCGATATGTGGTAGCTCGACGCGTGGTAATTCGACACGTGGTAATTCGACGCGTAGTAATTCCATATGTGGTAATTCCACGCATGGTAATTCGGGGCGTGGTAATTCAACGCGTGGTGATTCGACGCGTGGTAATTCGACGCGTGGTAATTCGACGCGTGGTAATTCGACGCGTGGTAATTCGACGCGTGGTAATTCGACGCGTGGTAATTCGACGCGTGGTAATTCGACGCGTGGTAATTCGACGCGTGGTAATTCGACGCGTGGTAATTCGACGCGTGGTAATTCGACGCGTGGTAATTCGACGCGTGGTAATTCGACGCGTGGTAATTCTACGCGTGGTAATTCGATGCGTGGTGACTCCACGCGTGGTAATTCGATACGCGGTACTTCAGCGCATAGTAATTCGATGCGTGGTGACTCCACGCGTGGTAATTCGGCGCATTGTAATTCGATGCGTGGAGACTCGACGCGTGGTAATTCGATACGTGGTAATTCGACGCCTGGCAATTCCACAATTAAACTTTCATTGGTGAATTTTTGAACACTGAACTAGTTTACTTACCACATGAGCATCTCTATCAGTGATCCAAGACCCACTCTGCTTACTCTTCGCATTGATACCGATCCTAGACACCAGTCTGATCAGGGACCACCTATCCTTGGCTGTCCTATGAACACGATGTCCATTTTCCCTCGTTCTAGTGTTCCTCCACTCGTTCGCTAATTCCGGGTCAGAGTCCTCTATCGCTGACTTCGTTCCCACTGCTCGAACCCGACCATCATCTATAACGATGATCTGAACGACATTCGTTATAAGTCTGTGTCTCTTTCGGGTGTCAGTTCATTGACGTACCTGATGAGCTGTGGATAGCAGCTCCAATCTATGGGTGACCATGATCACTGTACGTCCACTTCGCAGTAGGAGCTTGCGGATACCTTGGTCGAAGATCTGCTGGCCAACTTGGTGATCCAGCGCGGAGAGTGGATCATCCTGGTAATATTTTATTAGTTAATTACTATTTAAATAACTTCCTCACACTTATGTGAAGATGTCCGACTTCTTCTGACTTCTGACCTCAAAATATACGTACCATGACGATGATATCTGCATTGCTATAGATTGCCCTCGCTATAGTCACCCTCTGCTTCTGCCCGCCACTCAAATTGATTCCTCTCTCGCCTATCCTGGTGAGATCGTGGCCCGGAAGTATATCGACATCCGGCTGCAGAGCACAAGCCTTTAACACGCTCCGATACCTTCTCAATTTGTACGATGATCCAAAGAGAATATTGTCTCTCAACGTTGTGTTCAGCAGCCAAGGCTTCTGAGCTACATACGCAATCTTCGATCCTCTAAAAACGAACAATTTAACCAAACTTATTTATAACAAATAAATGGAGACTCACTTGGCCCATTCGATCATTCCTGATGTTCTTTGGATTTCTCCTAACATTCCCAGTAATAGTGACGTCTTTCCTCCGCCAGTTTTTCCAACGATTAACGTCAACTGACCTAAAGAGAAAAAAGATTATATTTTAACACTATAGTAGCATGATAAGACTATATTTTAAATCTTGCAATCTTTAGGAACTGAAGGAATTTCAAACAATAATTGATGGTATTAAATAATTTGACATCTGGATAATAATTAGACATTAAGTATCAAATTACTGACAACATCAAGTGAAAATTACCTCGTGGGAAGCTCAGATCGGTTACCGATAATTGATTCTCTTCAGAGCCCCACGAGAACGAGCAATTTTTCAATCTGAGCACCGGAACTTCCGGATCCTTCTCGAACACCGTATCCGCAGAAGAATCGATATCCAGCTTGTATTTCCTTAAACAGGATTGCCCATCTTCCTCGTCCTCTTTGATGCTGTCCAAGGATCCAAAGGTCGCAGCATTGTGAGGTTTCATTTCCACCTGAAAACCCTTCTCATTCATACCACGTTAATTTTTGAGATTTAACATGCTTACAGGAATTTCGTCGATGGAATTCGTCCGTGACACGTTTCCTTTAATGTCTGACTTTTCTTCACCGGGTAGAACGTTGTCGATTTCAGGAAGCTGAAGAAACTCCTCCATTCTGGTGGTAGAAATCTGTACAAGAGAATGTTCATGAATGTTTATGAAGGTGTTGGATGATTGATTCTGCTCACCATGGCGTTGATGATGATGGGGATCATCACCGGGAAAATTAAGAGAGGTACGGTGAGCTGTGAAAATAAGGCCAAACTCGCGAACACGTTCCCGGCTTCGAGATTTCGTTCCTCTATCCAGAAATAAATTCCGAAAGTGAAGAGGGTTGTCACCACTGATGAGGCGTGGGTGAGGAAATCTAATGGTAAACGATTGTTTATGGTTTTATTCGAATTTCAAGGGAAATTGTACTCAAAAGATAGCACGGACCAATCAGAGCGCGAGTAATGCAACGTGTAGTAATCCAACTCGTAGTAACCCAACGCGCAATAACGCAACGCGTGGTAATTCTACGCGTAGTAATGCAACGTGTGGTAATTCAACGCGTAGTAATCCAGCGCATAGATATTCAACGCGTGGTAATTCGATACGTGGTAATTCGACGCGTGGTAATTCGATACGTAGTTATCCAACGTGTGGTAATCCAACGCGTAGTAACCTAGCGTGTGGATATCCAACGCGTAGTAATCCAGCGCGTGGATATTCAACGCGTAGTAATCTAACGCGTAGCAATCAGAGCGCGAGGATTGGTCCGTGCTTTTCCGTGATTTTATAAGCTTACTTATAAGAGTCCAATAGAAAGAATCCTTGTCCAGCATTTTTAACTCGCTGTCCCTCGCTCTTTTTATTTTCTTCTCGAAAATGTCCTCCCAAGCTCTGAGTTTTACGAGCCTCATTCCTTGCAAGATCTCGTTCATTAAACGCAATCTGGCATCACTTTTTTTCTGAAATAATACTTCGTTTATAAAAAGAAAATTTTATGATAAGGTATAGAAGAAGATAAATATGGTTACAGCGACTGATTTGAAGTTCTCGGACATTTTTTTCCCAAGCACCAATTGCATCGGTGTTACGATGAGTATGCAGCAGAGTGCACCAATCACTGCACTGATTCCCAGCTTTGTGTACAGGAGAAAAATTATTGCTATGATCTGAAAGTAACAATATTAACTTTTAGTAATGTCAGTAATATTAGTAATCTCCAACAACACCAGTAAAATTAATAATCCTCAATAAAATTGATAATGAAACAAAATTAGTAACATTAGCGAACAAATTTTCTTTAGTAATCGTTCCAATAAATTTTTTTCTAAGAACAGTCTTCAACCTTCAACGGAATTGCCCAAGTGTAATGGCCGATCCAAAAAAAGCTCATAACGTTATAAACGTCCTCCGACACGAGATTCGTCAGGGTGCCGATATCGGCAGATTGCTGACACCTGCCCTGTTCTTTCTCCTTATCTAATGGATTTTCCTCTTCATCGATGCTCCACGAACACAGACGCAAAGCCTTATCGTACAGCAACGCCTACAGGAATCAACCGAAATAGAATCCTTCGAGGAATATCGTCGATTCAAGTGTACCTGGAGTGCAGTTTTCAAGCGGATTCCTTCTACGCAGAGGATATGACTGGAAGCCTGGCTAAGAGTACTTTGTAACACGGCAGAGAAGAATACCAGGAGACCAAGAAAGTAGCCATTTTGTGTGATTTCGGAGAACGTCATGGCACTCTGAAGTGTTATTTTTGATTTAGTATATTTTCGTTTTGGTATGATGGGAAATAGGAAATGGATCATCTATTTTTTGATAAAAAAATACAACGCGTCGAATTACCACGCTTCGAATTACCACGCGTCGAATTACCATGTATCGAATTATCACGCATTGAGTTACCACGCGTCGAACTACCACGTATCGAATTACCACGCGTCGAATTACCACGCATGGCATTACCACGCGTGGGATTACCACGCGCCGAATTACCACGCGTGGAATTGCCACGCGCCGAATTACCACGCGTGGAATTGCCACGCACAGAATTACCACGTATTGAATTACCACGCGTCAAATTACCACGCGTCGAATTACCACGCACCGAATTACCACGCATGGCATTACTACGCGTGGAATTACCACGTATCGAATTACCGCGGGTCGAATTACCACGTATTGAATTACCAAGCGTCAAATTACCGCGTATCGAATAACCACGCGTCGAATTACCACGTATCGAATAACCACGCGTCAAATTACAGCGTATCAAATTACCATGCGACGACTACCACGTATCGTATTCCCACGCATCGAATAACTATTCAGTTATGGCTTTTGACGAATGACTTTGTTGTATTTTGTGATAAAAAATAGGTAAAAAATAATAAAAATGAATGTACAAACATTCGATGAATGAAGCGTCTTGTTTTGAGAGGTGGAAACATAGTCCAAAATTTTAGAGATTGTCATCGGAGCAATCAGAGTTGTACCATCGCCCAGTAGTTTTAGAAAACCTCCGACAGCGAAGGGGTACCATATTCTCTTCCAGTAACATCTCCAAAGTGACAAGTTTCTTCTTTTATCCTATCAAAATACATAACGCGGTGTTTATAGTTAGCATAGTAAATCTGTAATCAGCAGAAATGGTATATCTGTGTGTTTTCGATTACCCTGTGGTCTTCATAAACTTTTGCGAACTTCTCGAATTGTTTCTCCGCAGTTTCGTCCTCAGGGAGTTGTCCAAGATCCTGAGCGTCCAATGACGAGGCATATCCTTTCGACAGAAGGTCAATAACCCAGTGGAAGGTGATTCTACCTAGGAAAGGTGCTCTTGAATGATTGTAAACGATCCTCCTCTTCGTTCGTTCGAAGTACCTCTTCCTCTTCCTCGTCTAAAACCAGGCGATAATCGCAGTTCACTTATTTGCGGCGGTAAGGCTGCGTTAAGTCTATTTGCATGCTCAAGGGAGGTTTTTACTGGGTCAAGGTATGTGAAATATATTTGGAATGCAAGCTCTCGGGTATCGTAGCTTCTCAACCCTGAATTTTTTCTCTTTTTCAAAAATTACCGAGATCTTTGCCATCTAGTTTATCGTCGAAGGAAAAACGTGCAACCATTCGATAAGGTCGCTCGACTATGATAATAAACATTATTATTCAAACAAGCTGAGTAAATGTAAAACAAATGTTTGCACTAGGTGGAGTAGCTGGCTCTCCTCGATAAGCTTGTAACGCTTTGTCGCTAATTCCGTGGTTCGATTATTTTAGCCGCTATTAGCATTAATGCGCTCTTTTAACTCTTCTTCCGATCTAATTTATTTTCATGGACACTTTCAATTATCTTCAAATCTTTAAAATGTATGCAATCTTTATGGGCGCAATCTTTGGAGACTCAGCAGTGAAATATATCTTGTACTTACGGTAAAGAGGGTGTACGAATCCAAAATGGCGAACAAACCGCAGAGGACGGCGACCATTGCTGTTGTCGTAAGTCGAATGTGTTCGATCGACAAACCGTATCTAAATTTATAAAAAATATATAAAGTAAACTGTACAATGATTTTCATTATAACTTTCAATAATTATAACTGCATTTCAAATATGCTAATAAATCGAAGATACTTAAGAATTAAATATATCGTTAAAATAACAAGAAATAACAGAGTATAAAATTCATTTCAAATAAATACTCAAAAAAATATCTATATTCCAATAATTGACATCTGGTAATCCTGTTTTAATTTAACAAAGTATGAAATATAGAGGGATTAAAGCACGTTTTATTTCTCCATAAACCGACCTAGACAGGTATGCAAATTTCCAAGCTCGCGATAAGCCGATGGCCGCAAAAATGGCGGCGGAGTACACGGTTCCGAAACCATCCCTAATTTCGGTCGCTCGATGGAGTATCCAGCAGCAGAAAGTGGCGAGGATCGTGAAGATGGACGACAGGGAGATCGACGTTAAAAAAGACTCGCAAACTTCTAGGAAAAGTACGGTGAGCAGCAACATGCAGAGCAGCGTCCTTATTACGTGAAATGGAAGGAGTCTTCTGGAGTCTCTGGTTAAAAAGAAACAGGATAATTAACAAATTGTACAAAAACAGTTAACTATTAATATAATTTTTAATTTTGAACTGTCAGTATTTTTAAGACAAGTCCAGACATAATTAATGTATTATTTATCCTACGATACATGTAATCGCATCGATACGCACGATTTCTAGTAAACTAATCACCAGAAAACGAGTCTTTCCTCCTCAAAACGACTGTCCAATAAAACTCCGCGATCCAGCTTTTCTACATCGAGCATGCTAATAAACAAGTCGACTATCGAACTAATTACTCGTTAATTACACGTGGACGTTCATCGAACGGCAGTTGCACTTTTATTTCACCGTGGAAATCGATCGGGTTTGTCGGAACGACGTCGATCAACCGACTTCTCGATCCCCGTAATTTCTGGGAAGATCCGATCGATTTTAATACGACGACTTCATCGATTTCCCGCGAAGCGAACGAGAGCAAACAGTACAGTTAGCTTATTTGGATCCATTAAAATTCTCCGAACGAGCACCGTGACGCAAACCAGGAAAGAACGCTCTGGGACCGGCACATGTCATAAATTATTCCGCTAATTAATCTGAACCCCGGGAGATCTTCTTAATCCCCGTTTCTTCGTACTTTTTGTTGCGAATGATGCTAATATTTTCGTGGTAGAAAGCAATATTAATCTTATCATCACGTACTTTGTATGGATTTTATACACAGTTTCATAGATAAACGAATTAATATAATTATAACTTGGTGTGTATAAGGTTCTTTTCGCTACTGGTGTAAGAGATAAGAAGAAACTTTAAAACTTTGATGCATTAAAACCTTGTAAGTTTGACTCTTTCAAGCTTTGAAGCATTGAAACTTTGATGCAAATGAAACCTTGGAACATTCAAGCTTTTACAATTTTGGGTACTGAAACTTGGAAACACTGCTCCTTCGAAGCATTGAAAATTTGATGTAATTGAAATCTTGAAACTTTGCAGCATTTAAACTTTGATGCAATTAAAACCTTCAAATTTTGAAGTATTAACACTTTGGAGCATTGAAACTTTGATACAATTGAAACCTTGAAACTTTGAAGCATTGACACTTTAGGCTATTCAAATTTTGAAGCCTTGGAACTTTGATGCAACCGAAACCTTGAAACTTTGAGGCATTGACATTTTAGGGTATAAAAACTTTGAAGTATTAACACTTTGCAGCATTGAAACTTTGATACAATTGAAACCTTGAAACTTTGAAGCATTGACACTTTAGGCTATTCAAATTTTGAAGCCTTGGAACTTTGATGCAACCGAAACCTTGAAACTTTGAGGCATTGACACTTTAGGGTATTAAAACTTTGAAGCATTGAAACTTCGAGGCATTGCTATTTTGAAGCATTGAAACTTTGGAGTATTGAAACTTTGAAGCATTGAAACTTTGAGGCATTGAAACTTTGGAGTATTGGAACTTTGAAGCATTGCAACTTTAAAGCAATGAATCTTTGAGGTACTGAAACATTGAAGGATTGGAACCTTGAAATTTTGATAATTTGAGACGCTGAAGCTTTGAAGCTTTGGAACCTTGAAACCTTGACGCTATGGAACCTTAAAAACTTGAAACCTTGAAACCTTGAAACCTTGAAACCTTGAAACCTTGAAACCATGAAATCTTGAAACCTTGAAACCTTGAAATCTTGAAACCTTGAAACCTTGAAACCTTAAAACCATGAAATCTTGAAACCTTGAAACCATGAAATCTTGAAACCTTGAAACCTTGAAACCTTGAAACCCTGAAATCTTAAAGCCTAGAAGCCTTAAAACCTTGAAACCTTGCAGCCAAAAAATCTGGCATCCTCAAAAACTTAAAACTCCCAAACTTCAAAATCTCAAAAACAACTTTAACCCAATCCCCTGTTTACAACGATCTCAATTTACAGAATACCAAAGTAAATCAAACATCGAAGCACGTGTACACAATTCGATCACTCTTCCAAGAACAAGTGTGCTCAACGTTGTTTAACCCGGATAAACAATCAAATTCCCCTGAAAAGATTCGATCATATTTATCATCCGGTCGTATAATTTCAAAAAATGTTTAACTTCAAAACATCCCACGATATTTGTTCCGTTTTTTGCGCCAGCGATGATAACACCAAGCCGAAGAACATCGAACGATGAGCAATCAAAATAATAAATCATGTAACAGTTGTACGTGGAGAGCGTCGAACGTAGGCGAAGAAATTAACAGACTCGATTGACTTTTACCACATTAATTGAAACGAATTGTTCGAATGGGACGTGGCCCTCATCTGAATCATGGGAGATCCCAAACGTGCTATGTTTTGTTAATTGAAGGTTGTCCTAAATGAACGCTTTGACTCACAGTTGATTGTAGCCCTTTTCTTTTAATTATTTACACGCTAAGTATTCTTTAAAATATTGTTTTTCTTCCTACTTAAATTTTATCTTTTTGTAGACATTTTTATAGATTTAAGAGAGATTTAATTGAATGCTTTGACTTGCAGTAGATTGTACAGGCCTTTTCATTATTTACATGCTAAGTATTCTTTGAAATATCTTCTTCCCAAATAAATTTTATCTTTTTGTAAACATTATAGATTTAAGAGAGTTTTGGAATATCGAAGGTTTAACAGCTTTAAAACGAAAGTCATTCTCGTCATTTGTTATTTTCTTAAAATCATTATTTGGCCTTAACTTTGTCTCACTCCGATTCCAATCAAACTTTGTTCCACATAAATAAATCTTATCTCTTCTGATTTTTCAAAACATCATTATTATCTAAGTAAATCATTTCTCACAATTAACGTTCAAGAATTATCAACCTTGCTACAATGTTGCTATCTTAATTTGATATTAAAATATCAGATAACTCCAAAACAATGTATATTTAAATAGTATCGAAAAAATCTGATGGAAAGTTGCTTTCAAACACATTCTTCTTAATCGCCATTATCAAAACAAGTTTCACCGATCAATTAAATATATTGCGAAACGTAATTCAACTTACTTTTGATGTCTGCCGCATTTGTATTTCAATGTAACGACTCCAGCGACCAGACTCGCGATCAGAGGAACGCAGATATTTGCTATTTCTACTAAACAGTCCTCCGTGGATTCCTTCTCGGTGAACCGGAAGACCGTGCCGTTCTCCGTTTGCCAGCTCCATACGATGCGCCTTCCGGTTTTAGGGAGGATGTGCAGAATCTTGTAGCTCTTGCACAAATCCATTTTTGGGTGCTTTCAGTCAAGAGTGGTGGCTCTTTGATGCATGATGATTCACTGAAAATATACTTTTCTACTTTCTTTCTTTGGCTTTTGTGTTAATTGGGGGATTAATTGTAGTTGGTTGTATGAGGGGTTTGGGAATATTGGGGTTAAGGAATGAGAAGATAAGGAAATGTGGCAAATTTGGGGGTGTGAGAATTTGGAGACGTGGGAAATTGGAGATGTGAGAATTTGGAGACATGGAAAATTGGGGATGTGTGAATTTGGGAACGTGGCAAATTTAGGGCGTGGAAATTTGGGAACGTGGAAAATTTGGGATGTGACAAATTTGGGGGTGTGAGAATTTGAAGACGTGGAAAATTGGGGATGCGAGAATTTGGAAACGTGGCAAATTTGGGGTGTGGAAATTTGGGAACGTGGTAAATTTGAGGCGTGGAAATTTTGGAACGTGGAAAATTTGGGGGTGTGAGAATTTGGAGACGTGGAAAATTGGGGATGTGAGAATTTGGGAACGTGGCAAATTTGGGATGTGGAAATTTGAGAACGTGGCAAATTTGGCGTGTGGAAATTTGGAAACGTGGCAAATTTGGGGCGTGGAAATTTGGGATGTGAGAGTTTGGAAAACTCGAGAATCTCCAAATCTTGAAATTTGAACGCACCCGATTCAAACCTTGCAAAAATCTTAATAACCAAGTTTGAAACAGCCCATATAACCAGTCTACTAAAAATCTCCCTATCTAATTTAGTCGTCTGAAGTTTCCCAACTCCATTCCTCTCCAAACGTAAACCCTCCAACACGGCTAAGCACTTACATCCACGTGTAACAATTTGATAAACCTCGTGAAATGACTTCAGCAAATACTAGCGGATCGAAAATAGATTGTTTGTTTTCACCATTGCCTATTTCACGTCACGATAAACATATTTCAGTCAGAAATGTTTCCAACTTCCGATTCAGCGAATTCCGAAGACCGTTTTGTTTTTCCACGCTGACCAAAAATACCGCTCGAATAAATTTCGATGCGTGTTCTGAATGAACGAGACTCGTTAGAGAAAAAAAACATAGTACTTGCGGTTTTTATCAAATAAAAAATAGGGTAATGCGTAAAATACTGAACAATTTATTTAACGAGCTAACACCTTGGTGATAGTAATCTCGTGTCAACAGAACTTCTTATCGTTGTACTCATTGAGCAAAAAGTTGTTTAAAATTCATAATGACTAATCAGCGATATGCTAAGTTCTAAGGTAAAGCGGTACTTACGTGTGCAATGTTGTTCGTCGCGGTTCGTTATCATTATTCAACTTTGTGTCACCAATTTTCTTCTATATCACTTTTATAATTTATAAATTGCTTTGGTTTTTTTTAATAGATCGTTTTGTGAATCATTTCACGGTAGCAGTGATCACTTTGTGATCTTGCATGATTAACAAGCATGGTAATCAATATTCTTTTGCACGAATCTTTACGTCATGGAGAATCATTGTTCTGGTACCGTGAACGATTGGAAATTTTGAAAGTGATACTCTGAATTGATTAGTGTACTCGTTTAGAGCCTCATCTTTATCCTTACAACTTCTATAGACTGTAGAATATCCACTATTTTTAACATTTATAAAATAATAGGATGTTTAAAAAATGAATACAAGTTTCATTCATCAAAATTGTACATTTTCATGAATTCATCTGAACTCTTACAAAATAAGCTGTGGCATATTTAATCAATTTAAATGTTTATAAATCAAGTTTCTATACATGACAATTTGAACAAATGTATGTAGAAGATGTCATTCATTATTCAATTATAAAATGAGTATTTGTTCTATTTCTCAGAGCTGCAGAAACTTTCAAACCTTTCACTAAAATGAACAACACTCTTTCAAGAATTAATTCAAAACGATACCATTCGTTATAAAAATGTCTTTATATAAAATGATTAAAATTTTCACGAGACCTTCGAACAATTTTATTTTAACAACGTATTATTGAATTACAAAATGAGAATTTGTTTCATTCCTCAGAGCTGCAGAAACCTTCAAACCTTTCACTAAAATGAACAACACTGTTTCAAGAATTAATTTGAACGATACCATTTTTTATACAAATTAATTAAAATTTTTGACAAGATCTTCGAACAATTTTGAACAATTCTAACAACATACATATATCCTTCCAACAATTTGATTTCGTTAATAAATAAAATTCGAACAATCTGACTTCATCATCAAATATAACAATTTTACTTCATATTTCCCAGAATTTAATTTAACAAGAACATCTTTGTGCTCCAACTTGCAATAAAAAGATAAAATGATGCACCATCGGTTGCATAGACGTTGAACGTTGACAAAAATCGATTTTTCAGGAACACTCGCAGGAGTTTAGATCAGACTTTTCAGCCACGCACGTGCGCGTTGCTCGATCAGCGAAAGGAATACACCTCCTTTCTGCTTGACGGTCCGCGGACTACTGACAAACCGACAATGTTGAACACAGAGCGAATGGTGATTCCGTGTGTGCCGATGAGTCATTGGTAGAAGAGAAAAAAAAGATCTTGATGATGCTGCCAGAGGCTCCTCTTTCACCGGAAACGTACGTCCTAGAAAAGCGGATTCTTTCGACGCGGCATTTGGCTACCGATTCTTTCGCACGAATTTAGATAGGGGTGCAACATTGGCAATGGTATTATTGCTAAGTCATTCTAACGTCTTTTCGATCATTAAATGATCACTGATCACTGGTGATCTGTGACGAATACGTTACAGTAAAGATATTCTTATTTTTTGTGCTATTTTTGCTTCGTAAAAGTATTGTAAGATCAATATGAAGTAAGGTTTGGTATTTTAAAATTCGATAATTTCGACAAGGTGTAATCTTGCAAGATTGGGACCAGGATAGGTCTTGAATTTTGCTATTTTCGTATCATAAAAATTGGTACTATAAAATCAATGAAATGGTATTTTAAAATTCGGTAATTTCGGCGTGGTATAATTTTGCAAACTCAGGATTTGAATTTAGACTCGAGGTGACCTAACGTGGTGATCTAATCATTGACGTAACTAGGATTTTTGTTTGCTTCTCCCTTTCGCAATGTCCTGTACAGACCTCTCATAACCACCTATATTTAGATGTATTCAATCGTCCGAATACTATTACGTAAATACTATGCAAATTCGGGGATTATGTAAAGCTAGAGGAATAGGTTGACAATGAAAAAACGATGATAGTTTATTTGAAAAATATTTAATAATAAACATTGACAATATACAGAGAAAATACGCCATAAGAAGTCGCTATGGGAGTAATAAGAACCTAACAACTGGTCCAGACTTACAAAATATCATCAAATCAGACAATGATAAAGGTGTTCCGTTACGACACCCCGTGTGTACTCCTATCATCAGTATTTTTTTGTTCTTTTTCTTTTTTTGCAAACTAAAGTTATTCTCGTTCTCTCGTGTATGCACCTGAACGTTTCTCGTTACTTGTTCTCGTGTTCCTGCGATTTTACAATTAATATCTGCCTCTTACATTCAACGTAAATTCGTTTACGTTTTCGTATTATAGATTCGCAACCGGAAACCGAAAAATTTCGCACACGGGTCTCCCGTTGCGAATCCGATTACACCGGCGAGAGAAGCGAAAAACAGGTGGCATTTAGCTGCTTACGATGTTCTCTATTTCGTATTCTTTTTTTGTATTTTTCTTTTTTCGTTTTGGTTATTACCCATCTCAATCTTTCTTTTCCCTCCAACCTTTATTTAAATTATCCTTATTACTACCTTCTCCGTTTTTAATTCTTCCCTCGTCTCTTTTCATCCCGAGTTCTCCAAACTTCTCGCATATCGTTACAATGAATAAAATCGTTAATAAATTGTACAAGAATTTGGAGAACGCTCTTTCACGAGTACAATACACGGACGCATCCCTTAATCACCCACGCACGAATCACTAACAAGTTACGACTTATTATCGTTACATTAACGCCCTAATGTCATGGAACATCCCTTATTTTTACTTTATCCTTCATTTTTCTCGCTCGTCCTCCTTTACCCGATAATTCGAAAAAAAGAAGGTGTTCGCGGCTCGGGATCCTCCGCTAGTTCTACTCGAGCTAGATGCTAGGCTTCCCTTGGGTTAGCATTCCGTAGGAGAATCCATAATTAAATTGTCAGACTTCGAATCTACTGAATTATAAATTTCTGAATCTTTAAATTCCTAAATTCCCAAATTCCGAACTCCCTAATCTACAAATTCACAAATCCCACATTTTGAAGTTTCTAATATACCAAATCCTCAAAGCTGTTAAATTAAAAAATTCCTGAATTTTCAAATCCCCAAATTCCCAAAGCACCAAAATCTCAAATCTTGAATCTACCAAGTCTCCCAAATTCCTAAGTCCTCAAATTCTCAAAAGTTTAATGCACTAATCCCCCTAATTTCCAATTGCCTACACCCGAAGAGTTACCATACAAAAATTAATAAATCCTCCTTCCCCTAAATTCGCTAATCCCTAAGGAAGCCTACCACGCTCGTAATTTCCCTAGCACAGGATCACGAGCAGACCGAACAGTCGCCTAGTACGCTAGGATATGTTGCTCGTAAAGATGTGTCGTTTTACGTAAGTCATGTAAGTCATCTAGATTCACTTTTTTTTTTAAAAATCCCGTTTACGGTACTGCTTTATAATAATAATTATATATATATGTCATATCATCGTATATTTATATGTATGTATAACGTTACGGTGCGTATCGATCGTTATTGGATTATCTTACAATGCGAATTACCGCCAGCCGCTGGATTCGAAGTAAACGCGGGAAAATCAAAAATACGCGCGAAATTTAAAACGACGTTTGTGAGAGACTTTGCGTTGAACGTTTGAGGGGACGCATCCAAGCGACCGACGAACGAATCGAGCACGTTACAATCACGCATTTTGTACAATTGATTCTTGCTCGCTCGAGAGGTGAGAAGAAACTCCGTGTTGTGCGCTCCTCTGTCAGACGCACCCAAAAATCGATAGACGATAAACGCGCGAAGCAATCGAACGAATTTCTATGTATATAAATAAGCTGATCGCTAGAAGTTCGTCGAGAGGACTGGTATTCTGACTTTCTAAGACTCGGAAACAGACTCTACGCTATAATCTCTAGTCCGTACCTGGCTAAATTCTAGGTTCCTTGAACGTTCCTTTGTACACAATTCGTCGGGTATCGATTTCGCTTCTTTTACGCTCTTTTGCCTTTTCACAGGGTGTTTCATTAACCGTCGACGTGTAAATTAATTACAAATTATTGGACAATTTTCAGTGATAATCGGTTCTAAATATTCTTATCATCTTACTCATTCTTTCGTTCTCGGAAGCTTGTACAAGGTGTTTCATAAACATTTCAAGTGTTTGTTCAAATAATTTTGCTGGTGCAAATATTTCGAATTCTGTAACAAATCGTGTTCTACGAAACACTCTGTGCAAAATATTACAGTGTCGAATCGGGTCAGCAAACATATACAATATGTGGTCAGTCGCTTCGACGCGTAGCCAATTACAATGTAACGAAAAGTGGCAAAGAGAACACAAATAGAAAGTATCGAGAATCGTGTACGATAGGCCTGCGCACTCGAACACGCTGAAAGAATGAAACCAAGAGTCAAGGAACAAGAGGAGGAGGAATCAACGGGGAGAAGGGAAGTTGTGCACTCGTGACGAAGAATAAGACGATGGGTTCTCGCCTAGATTTGAGCTTGACTTACGCTAGCCACTAGTTGTAATAGCCTACCGATAAAGGTATCGATTACGAGTAAAGTATAAATTGTAATTACAGTGTACAATATACAGGGATTAGATCTTTGCCCGGTTTTCATCGTCCTTGCACGCTCGTTCCTCTAGGATGAACCGTCTTGGCGTATCCTTTCTAATATCAATGTTATCTTCGAGCACTTATAACAAAAAAGCGTTCAGTCGAGGAGGAACGATCGTGCAGAACGAATGACGAGGAAACGAGCTTTCTTTGAAGTCATACCATCTTGATTGGCTCAAAAACTTCGCATTTGAAAATTTATTTCTACGCAACAGAAATTTCATTTAAAAATTTAATACATGTTATGTACAAATTTTCTGTTACATCAAAAATAAATATGGCGGTTGTTCAGTTTGGGAGAATGATTTACTTCATGAAATATGTGAACGCATATTTAAAAGAATTTTTTACAAAAATTGTAGACTAAATTTTATATCATTTAAATGTGTTAATGTCATTCATTGCTAGAAATAAATTGCTACAAATGGAGAATGTATTTTTAACCGATCAAGGTGGTTTGACCTACATCGAATCTTAAGAATCATCCTGAATCAATTTGTCCCTTCAGCCCAGTTTCCTCGCGTGGATGCAATAAATCACTAGCATCTTTTTACGGTCGTTTGTAGTCTGCATTAAAATCTACGCTCGTTAATTTAAACGTTACAAGAATCATGAGTATGTCTGAGAATTGTTCGGCTTAGCTCTTAAAACAAGTTTTGTGCTCGACGAAATCGATTTCCACGGTCGATCCCTAATTTCTTATTTACATGTACTGGCGCTCGCACACGCAAAACGAGAGAAACAAAAAAACCATGAGAATATGATTATTTATTATTTTTTTTTTAATATTCTTTCACTGTCTCTTTCCTAGCCTATATATAACTATCCTAGCGATAGATTTACGAGTTAAAACGTATATAACCGACGACAGCCAACTAATCTGTCACGAACTAACTACGTAGAAAAAAAAGAACGAAAAAAAGAACGAAAAGATTGTGAAGAACATCTTTGTCATATTTGGCTATTTCACACACGACTCTTTGTTGTGTAATTCCCTTCCATCTTCCCTTATCCCAACCCCTCACCAGCGTTTTGTCGCCATCTTTCTTTTTCCTACGTCTCTTTCTTTCTCGCATATACTCGTTTTATTCTTGTTCTCAAAATTCATTCACACTTTGTTCGCTAGCATTCCTTCCATCTCACGCTTCCACGTCGAATCACGCAACCACTTATCTATATATATATTTATTCATTTATTTATTTATATATCTATGTATATGTTTATTACGATAAATCTCCACTTAACTAGAACTTGTAACAGGGATTATCACTCACTCGGCTCAATGTGCGTACCATTTTCCCTTTTGCGTTTACCCCTGCTTCGGAGTACTCTATCTTTATGTCTCTGTGTGTGCTTGTATGTGTGTACGTGTGTTAGCCGATTTTTTGTTTCCTTAAAAGCAACATGACCTCTCGAAGGACAAGTCGGTGATCGAGAACATAGCGAATCCAGGAACTTTAAATTGGACGAACCCGAGGGTTGGTCCTTTAACCCTTCTTCGGTAGAGGTCCTTTGGATTAAGTATGCTTTCTTTGACTAGGGAGGTTTATGTATCTCAGAGAGATTCCAGCAAAATGTCTTGGACTGTTTCGAAATTGGAGATCCAAAGAAGAGTTAAAATAGGAAATAAAGTACATTACAATGAATAGTTATAGAGACTGTAGGCTGAGGAACATAAAATATTTCGAGATTGATCAATAAATTTAAGGAATCAGTCTGTAGAAAATATTGACATTCTCGATCACGTGATTTGAGCTTCTGAATTTAATTAAATTCTACCGTAGTCCTGGACAAAAATTATGGTTAGCGAACGTGGAGATTCATTTTTGGTTGAGAAATTGTAATCTTGTAATACTTTCGATGGAAGTTCTGTATTTGTATTGTTGAAGATGACATTTCAGAATATTATTTCACATCAGAAACTGACACACTGTCAGAGGTTGATATTTAATTTAGACTTAGAAGCAGAAAAATATAAATGATGTAAAAATATGAATGTTTCATATAAAATGATTTCAACTCCTCCATCAAAAACTCCTCCACAAAATAAGAGAGCAAAGAAACCTCGTCCAACTTGCTTCGCTATATCTACTACTAAATTTGTTCAAGTACGTTCCTAAAAGTTCTCTACCTGTAATTAGAGAAGAGGCTGCCTCTACTTTTTGTTAAAGCGTGGACAAGGTGTGAGTATTTAGAGAAGCTGCTGTTCCGTAATCTTCATCAGGAATCGGTAGACTGTCAATCAGACTCTTCAAGGTTTTCTTCTACCCGAAGCTATTTATTCGAATCACTCGGTCATGGTTCGATTCACAAATTTACACAAACACACATGCTCCACACACACACATACACTTATTTGGCATAGAAACTCTACCGGACACGCGTAACTGCCTCGCTGCTCTCGTCGCCTCTCTCTTGGCTATCTAACTAAAGAAAAAGGAAAAGAAATGGTCTATCGTCTGTCGTGGATCACCGAGTGTCGCTTCCGGAAGTTCCAGTCGACACGAAGGAGGAGTTCCTTTTCCGGCAGCCATTTGCGAGAGTTCTCCATTTTCTTTCACCTAACCGCGTATTAATCTCTGACCATTGGCGTAACTAGATCAGGATAAGATCTTAAACTTTTATTTTCCAAGATTCCAAATGTTAAATCTTCGAAATCCCATTATCAAATCGATTTTTTGACATTCTACCTAAGATTAGGTAATTTAGTTCCGCAATTCTAGTTACACCAACGCGTTTATCCGAGAGACGATCATTGATTCAAAAAAAAAGAATTACAAATAAAAGCGATACAAAAAAATAACGAAAAACCGCGAATTAACTCGTATACGAGAACGACTCCGCGTTCGCTTTTCAACGACGCGGCCCAATGAAATCGAACAAATTATGTACAAAATCCATCATTTCTTGCACAACGTTTGTGTTCATACACAATTTAAAATGTACCCCGTTCGCGATAAAACTTACCCCGGACGCATCTAAAACCCCAACGATTGAGACGTGCACGAGCAACGAATTGCATAATTACAATTGATTTCTAAAGAGATCAATTACCTATATCTATCTATCTACTTATTATATTTATATATATATGTATATACACACGTATATATACACGTACACCGGCTATATTCGATAACATTCCCTCGCTTTTAATCAGAGTCGGAATGGCTGCCGGCTTTCGAACTCGAGACGAACAAGTCTGACGTGTTCCTTCGGAATTCAAACTGGTCGAAAACGTTTCGAAACGGACCTCATTTGATCCTCATTTATTAACCTTTTATTAACACTTTGACTGCTGACATTTCATATTTCTTTTCGAAGAGGTTATGGCGTTAACGGCGCCATTTTATGAACACTTCATTAAATGCAAATGGTGGCCAGAAAATTGTACTTTTAAATTAATACTATAGACTGCATATAAAATTATTAAATTCAGAGATGGTTGCTGAAAGTATTTACCAATAAAGGAGTAATGAAGCTAAGCGTTAAAAATACGTGACAGCAATTGTCAAAGTGTTAACGTATTCTTCCGCTAATGGAAGCGGAATGTTTAGCATGTCCCAAAAGCCGAAATTCGATTGAACCGTTCCTCTTTGTCAGGGTAATTCGGTTTATCAATTTCCTCGTCTCTCCACGTTTACCTCCCACGATTATCGATCATGGCTTCCAAAAGTTCGACGACGTTTCGAGCAAGCCTTTGTCGTGCGGTTCGCAACCCCTATCTCGAACTATCTCGAACTCGAGGCACGTTTTAAATCCGTTTCGAATTCGAGGCGTCTCCGTATATATCATTCTCTATTCCTTTGATCTTCTTCCGCGTAGCTTGTCGAACTTGTTCGGTTATTTTCCTTCCAATTGTCGAGGGGTCCCTTTGTTCGTCTTCCTCCGCCAACGGGAGAAACTCTGGCTGTCGTTTCGTCCGTTCAGAAGACTGTTTTCGAGTTTGTTCGAGCTCCGATTTAACGATGATTATTTCGTAGATGAGAGTCATTTCTGTTTCGCGTCGAGAGCCACGAAGAAGGCTAGCGTCAGCATGCGCGGACGATCCAGGCATCGCTTCGTGGGGTGATCGTGATCGATGGCGGATGAGGATGATGATTGTGTCGATTTCTTCTGGTCATGTTCGGCTGAGTATGTACTCTTGGAAGGCTCGTGCTTCGCTGTCTCTCGAACCTTAGTACGGCGTGAACCTGTTGTAGCCACCCCTGTACACTGTCGCCTGAAAACAAAGTTTTTACCCTCTTAGTTTCCTCAAAAGAAGTGGTCTAAATACAAACTAGACTATAAGTACAAATTCGAGAACTCTAGAACTATAGATTGGAGTCTGACAATTTCAGAATATGCAAATTAGAGTAACATCTCGACTGTCTTCAATAAAAGTGAAATTTGCTAAACTATAAACATACTGCACATTAAAATATATCATACAGATTTATATATATTGAAATACATCATACAGATTTATTTTGAAATATGTCATATAGATGTGCATATATGAAAAAACGAAAGAAATAGGCTTTTTATTAATAGAATAATATTTCTGCTCACCCCATAGCCGGCTACTGGTCCAATACCATGTCCAAGGTAGGGATCGGCGTATTCACGCCCGTAACTAGAAAAAGCAATACCCACATTAAAAATACTGTGGTATTAGACTTCATGACACACGGGAAAGTGTATTGATGTACAAAGGTTTGCATAAAAATAGGATGAAGAGGCAAAAGGAGATACAAACGTTAGGACGTGTCTTTAAAGGTTTCGATAGGACTATCAGGGTTTTCGACAGGTGTATCGGGTTGCATCTCGATCTCGGTGTATCTGCGACTTCTAAGAGCTCTACCACGTCTTCGTGTTCGTCTGCAAGGAACTTCATGTACATATGTATATCATTGATCACTGAAATAACCCCTTACGGTCCAAAATATTATTTTATAATATCAAATATATTGTTGAAAAAATAATATCGTATATAAGTAATGTATTCTAATGTGTTCATGCATAATGTACATATCATAATCATTACAATATATGTATATGATATAATATAATGATCTTTTGAACATAACAATGTACAATATATTGATACATCAAGTATAATAACAATAATTAATATTAATAACACTAATTGGTGCATCAATAACAATATATACTATACTGATGCATTAAACATGACAGTAATAAATATGAAGGTAAAATATATAAAAAAATATATGCTGATGTACAATTAAAAATAAACAATATAAAAGATGTAAAATAGAATTGTCACATATGTAAGATCTAACAATATAAAACATGTAAAATAGAATTATCACATATGTAAAATCAAACAATATAAAATATGTCGTAAAATAGAATTGTCACATATGTAAGATCTGACAATATAAAACATGTAAAATAGAATTATCACATATGTAAAATCAAACAATATGAAATATGTCGTAAAATAGAATTGTCACATATGTAAAATCAAACAATATAGAATATGTCGTAAAATAGAATTGTCACATATGTAAGATCTAATAATAAAAAACATGTAAAATAGAATTATCACCTATGTAAGATCTAACAATATAAAATAGAATAGTCACATAAGTAAGATCAGTAATGTAGTAAAGAGGTCTCCGTATCTGTTGATATATCGAGAAGAGACCGTAAGGGGTAGTCGGGATGAAAAAAGGAAAGAGCAATTGGAGCCCGAGGGATAAAAGCGAAAGGAGAGGTCGTAGAAGGAAGGTAAGCGAGAGTGGTGCTTACCCCGCGACTGCGGCATATCCTGCGACCGGTTGTGCCGCAGCTGCAGCTGCGCCGTATGCGCGCGCAGCCACTGCCGTGTAGGTCGCTGCAGCTGCGTAGGTGGCCTGCTGAGCCGTCGAGAGGGGTGTCTTCAGCAATGGTGACGCTGCAGCTGCTGCTGCCGCGGCCTGAAACAGGAACCATGACCCGCCATGCAAGGCTCAAGCAAGCTCCAAGACAGACCAGACAAGGGTGTCCTAGCCGGAGGATACGCTACCAACGCGCCCTCTTACCATTTACCAGAGGTCCTTGCACGTTTACCAAATATTGCGTTAGCTAAAGGAAGCTCTGTGTGCTTGCTCACGCTTTGAAGGAGCTTTTGTTCCGTACTGTTACAGCGGATTTTAACTTGAGGGGAGCGAGTGGACATTGATTGGATGCTTCGATGGTCAGTTACGGTTGCTAATGAGACGTGACTGATGGAGTTACTATGATGGTACTTTGTGGAAATTGTTGATTTGACTGTCATAACTTCGTAATTCTGGAGAGACTTTTTATTATTGATATTTGTGAAGTACTTTAATTTTATGGTTTTGCGAATATTGATGTTGTTGAATGAAACTGAAGAATTTTTAAGTATTGAATTCTGAAATGTTAGAGTACTTTAATATTGAGAGAATTCTTAAACACTGCAATGCTCATGTGGTGGAATTCTGGAATACTAGAGTTCTTGAATGTCTATTGAAATTCTGAAGAGACGGAATTCTGGAATACCAGATTTCTTGCAAAACCTATTGGAATTCTTAAGCACTGGGATTTACAAATGTTGTAACTTTTGGGTATTGGAATTCTAGAATACTGCAATTTCTGAACAGTGGAGTTCTCTAATACCGAAATTCTTGAATGATGGAATTTCTAATTATTGAAATTCCAGAGCAGTGAAATTCACAGACGTTGGAATTCACGACGACTGGAATTCACAAGTATGGGAATTCACGATGATTGGAAATCCAAACGATTGGAATTCACGATGATTGGAATTCTAAACGATTGGAATTCACGATGATTGGAATTCACGACTATTGGAATTCACGAAAAGTGGAATTCGCTATGATTGGAATTCCAAACGATTGGGATTCACGACGATTGGAATTCACGAATATTGGAATTCACAAATACTGGAATTCACGAACATTGGAATTCACGAATACTGGAATTCACGAACACTGGAATTCACAGATACTGAAAATCTTAAACGTTGGAATTCATGAATACTGGAATTCACAGGTACTGAAAATCTCAAACGTTGGAATTCACGAACACTGGAATTCACAGGTACTGAAAATCTCAAACGTTGGAATTCACCCTTGTTGGAATTCCGAAATTTTCCAGAATCAAAATTCTCTAGTATTCGAATTCTTAACTCGCATCCCAAAGTATTACCAAATCCCAAATAAGTTCCATAAAAATTCCAAAAGCAAAATTCTTCGAAATCTCCAACTCGACAGTCAACAAGTAACAATTCCACCGACAGAAATTCGTATGATTTGTGCAAGGGAAGAACGGCAATATTTCTACAATTCTATCTCTCTACGTGCTCCTCGTCCAATTTTCACAAACTTCTCGTTTCTTCTTTTTATTTGATGTCGTGCAAGGACCCTCGTAGACGCGTTTGTGCGGTGCACCGACGAAACATCAACGTACTCAACCCTCCGATTTTTCCTTTTCTTATCTACCACATTCTCCGCGTTTTATAGAAAGTTGATACAACTTTGATACTCGGAACGATACCCGTACGGCGTTGTTTCGTCGACGCACAATGATGGTGTGCAGGTAATCAAAAGTTTCGAGCACTCAGCTAAAACGTGGTTCTCGAAGCTACTGTTTGTTGTTCGATCAAAAAAGCATCAGGAGATGTGCCTTATGTACAAAAGATGATGCGGAAATGATACAGTTTGCTCGTTAAAATCCATTCATCGTTCATTGATGATGATGTTTCATGTTAGCTACTATAACACAAAGAACGTGTGTGTCCAACTATTGTTTCTTTCATTTCGTCTATACTCAACTATCAAGATTATCCTTAAGTTGCAATATTCGAGATCGGTGTTATTTCAAAACAAGACTTTATCATTCTTTTCCTTTTGTATTCCCAATCTCGTATGAACCCATCATTTTTAATAAAAGGTTGCTAAAAGGTACTATTTTATTTTGCTAAAAGATAACAATTTATTTTGTTTCAATTTATATATACATGCTAAATATTTTGATGTGTTGGGGGTTGTTAGAAAGCATACAAGACTGGGCATAGAAAACGAAAGAAGGAAGAAAATATTCTCATTTGAGAGTCGTCGAACAAAACCTTCTACACGAGGGAAATGGTAAAGAAACAGTTACACAGGATTGCAGGGAAATTCGCGTACAAAAGGGCGGGAAATTAGATACGAAGAGCAATTTAGCGGCGAGATGATAACAGTTCCAGATAAGTCTCGAACGCGGAAAGCATCGATATTCGCGTCGAGATTAAGATATATCCCCGGAGGATGCCATTTATTGTGGAAGGAAACGCGGAATCTACGTGCATGCATCTAGACTAGAGTGTGCAATTGTATCAGCGAAAGGCGGATATTCCTTTTACTACGAAATCACGTTACTTCGTTGAATTCCTCGTAATACCCGAAGAATTTTTTTCCATTTACCTCTACGTCCCCTTTCAGCCGACTATTTCGCCGACGAGAATCCTCGAGTTCTCGCGTTTTTCACGGGATTACGAATCGAAACGGGGCTCAACCGTGTCATCGTATCTTGCAGAACACTCAAGAACGCCGAAATTAAATCCACCTCTTATTCTGGCCCCTGTTTTATTAAACCTCTCGTCCCTAATCCTCAAATTACATTATCCACGAGGAAACCTTTCAAATCTTTGCTATTCGAGCAAAATCTGCAAAATCTCAGATTTATCCTCCTCTTTGCGCTTATTAATTCTAATTGTCCGGACAAATAATTCTGACTTACAACTGGGACCATTATACAAAATTATTGCTTTCGCGTTTCAGATTTTATTTTATTAAATTTTCAGATGTCTCATATTTTATTCAAATTGCACATGTCAATCGATGTTTCAGTATTTATATACCGATTTTTATACTTTATTTTCAATTTAGAAGCAAGTTATTTTCCCTTTGAAAAATGGAGTTTGAAGCTTCGTGATCCAACGCGTAGTAATGCAACGTGTGGTAATCCAACGCGTAGTAATCCAGCGCATGGATATTCAACGCGTGGTAATTCGATACGTGGTAATTCGACGCGTGGTAATTCGACGCATGGTAATTCGACGC